GTCAAAGGCTTTGTGAATATCCAGGTAAACTAGTACAGCGGAGTTTTTGGCGTCGTAGGCTGCTGTGATGGTCTCGAAGAAGTGGAGCTAGCAGCTACCAACGGATCTTTGAGACAAGAACCCATACTGCCGGTCATCTATGGCATTAGTTGTCAGTAGAAACTTGGTTAATGGACCTTTGACCAGACGTTCAAGGGTTCTCATAAGGAGCGAGGTATGATGGACTCCCCTGTAGTCAGAAGGAGTTCGCCTAGATCCGGATTCAAAATGAGGGCGGATTACAGATTTCTTCCACTGGGAGGGGACGACTCCATAGTTTATGGAGTGGGTGAAAAGATTTAGTGCAAGTAATCCAATATCTCAGCCGCCTTGTTTCAGAATACTGGGTGAAAGGCCGTCGATTCCTGGCAAAGCAGAGTCCTTAATCTTAAGAAGAAGGGAAGAAACATCAGCTAGGAAGATTGTGACGTTACTGAGAGTAGGGTGGTTACCCTGACCGCTCACACTCTGTAGGTAAACAGCGGTGGGTAGGGGTTTGGAGTTGGGTGGGAGGGGTAAGTAGCAGCTGGCGGAGTAATAATATCATGTATCACCGTTGCAGAGTTGGAAGAAAAGGCTGAAGCATTTTGTAGGCAAGCATTTTAACACTGTCTCATTCGCCTCCGAAGGCGAACAGCCGAGAATTTTGTGACCAGGTAAGTTGAGAGCCCTAATGGTTGTACGTTGGGTTTGAGTACAAGGCTCCACAGGGGCACCAGAGACATATTTGTCCGCTTCATATCTCGGTGGTTTCGAGGGCTAATTTTCATTTGCAGGGTTTTTTCGCCCTATGGAAGCCCGGTTTGCTCGAGCCTTTTGCCATTGTGGGACGTTTTATTTGACGTGGGGGAACCTTTAGACCATTGCTACATGTAGCTCCTTCAATATCATCTTTTGACGACCGGATTTGCTAATGATAGGGGATTTCAAGCAAACTTGTGTCTGTTTGTTTTTCGAGCATCTTGGCGCGGTAAGATCGTTAATGGGCTTCTCCGCTTCATAGGTGGTTTCGAGGGCTAATTTTCATTTGCAGGGTTTTTTCGCCCTATGGAAGCCCGGTTTGCTCGAGCCTTTTGCCTTTGTGGGACGTTTTATTTGACGTGGGGGAACCTTTAGACCATTGCTACATGTAGCTCCTTCAATATCATCTTTTGACGACCGGATTTGCTAATGATAGGGGATTTCAAGCAAACTTGTGTCTGTTTGTTTTTCGAGCATCTTGGCGCGGTAAGATCGTTAATGGGCTTCTGCGAAGCCCTAAGCGCTTGGCGCAGCGCTAATGAGTAATTCTTCTGGTGACGCTGCCATGAGGCTAGTTTTCGCAGAGAAATGCATCTTGAAGTCGTCCAACAGTTTTTCGACTTGGTGAATCTTATGTGGTTTGTTTGGCTGCAGTCGTTTTTCTTTCATTTTTCTGTGGGCACCCGAGTCGCACTCGATCAGCGCGGCCGAGTGGGTGTACGAGGAATTTTACGAGTCACTGTGGTCAGGTTTGTGGCATTGTTTGCCAGGGTCCTGGGCTACGATTGTGTTCACAATCAATGAGGCCACTTTTGTTAAAGTGGAGCTGGAAATTGCCAGTTTCACGTTCTCAGTGGTTGTACGGTTCTCGAAGCATTCCCCAGTGTCGAGGTCAGAGCTGTGGTTGATTTGTCGGCGGACTTCGCTGTTGTCCCCTCACATCTGACCCAATCTAGCTCATAAGCTGTGACTTTGGTGAGAAGTTCACTGGTGCACCTTTGCCGTTTCTTATGGAAAGAAACGCTGATAGCTATACGGACTTCGTGAGCTGCTTCCACGTGAGACTTACATCCTCCAGAGCATCACTGCCTTTGGTAGTCGAGGGGTCTGTGATGGTTGAATAAAAACTGCCGTCTGGAGATGCATCCGGTTGCGTCGGCATGCTTTCGAGAGCGCAAGGGGCAATGAATACATTCTGCTTGGCCACGAGTTTAAAGTCGGCTGAACTGGCGCTGATCGGAAGTCTGTTTCGTGCACCTGCCTTAGAACTGCTTTTGCGCCCCTGGAGGGCGATCCTCAGGTAGACGCCTGATCACTGGGTAGGCCTCTTGAATCCTTTGAGCGACAGATGCCTTTTGAGCCGATTGTTCATGGTGCAGTGAGAAGAATGTGTTTAGGGATGACAAGCTAGGAAACCCTTTACGATATCTCTCCGCGTAGTCTTTCGGTTCATTCTCAATGTGTCATACAGAGGTGTCCGCTGAGCCCCCCATAGAATGCCATGTTGATGAACGTTTAGCTGTTCAGAGGAACGTGCCAGTCCAGTGACTACAGCTTTAAGGCGTCAACATCCTTTGGGGGCGCTTGCGTTCAGACTCCATGATTGCAAGTCGTGCACGAACCTAAGACATGGATCTTTAAAACCTCCGGAAGGTCACTTTACACGAATCAAAAGCGGGAGGGCTCCAAAACTGAGCATTGAGGAATTCCAATACAGACCAGTGCCAACAAATATCAGTTCAAGACTACTCTCGCCCGAACTTTTCGATCTGATAGGGACGCTTCAATTGCGCGCGAAACTTAACATCGAATCGTTAAAGGCTCGAGCTTGTGTGGCAGCTGGACGTGTGAGTCCTGGTCGAATACGTTTGATAGATCGGAAAATATTGCACCCGATATGAGTCCTTTGTCTTCAACTTGAGTTGGGCCGTCCATAAATGCGGGCATGTTCACCACGTATGAATGGTTTGGGAGGAATCCGTGTTGCGTTGGGCAAATCAAACTGTTGGTACCGTGACGATTCAACATAGCCTGCTTCAGTATATGTCTCTTTGCCTTGCACGTTATGCTAGGCGGTCTGTCGGGCGAGTATCTGCGAGTGTATCTGCCGGCCAATAGGCGGTCACCGGTTTCGTAGACTGGCGTGAAAATGACTTGCTTCCAAGACGATGGAAATCGGCATTCGTCGAACGACTGACGATTGCTATAACAATAAGTGCGTTGTTTTCTTCAAGATCGATTCATTGTACGTCATGCCACTATCGTCGGAAAGTTAACCAGGAGATTCAGGGAAAAAGTCCATCTTTTGAAGGTTTTCTGGAGCCAACATGTGAAATCGTGTGACATCAAGGAAACTCATTACATCTTCATGCACTGTTGCGTTGTATTCTGAACCAACAGGAGGGCCCACTGAACTAGAGTGATTGATGGACTCTCTCGAGGACCTGGACCACGAGTGTAAATCAATTACGTTGTAGGAAGCAGGAGTAGCAGCACTGACTTTAAAAGTCATTATGTGGACGCCGTCTGGCACAAGGGATCTTAGTGAGGCGCATCAGACCAGAAGTAGCTGGGTTTCTTAAATTGTGGTTTAATTTTTTGGATTTGAGTTTATCACTGATCATTAGACGTGTCTCGCATTGCATGACCTCTTTCCCCTATATTATCTTTGCCTCAAAGTAGACCTAATACTTGCACACTGTCTGAACATGGTTTGGTCAGCAGAATTTTTGCCTTAGCTCAACTGACACATGGCTAGGACGTGTTTGGAGGATTTCCAAGCTCAGTTCACACACTTTCATTGGGCAACAGTTTTCTCATTCCTCGTAGCTGGTGCGTGGAATAACCTTCCTCGAACGGCTGTTCACGCCGCAACTATCACTCAGTTTTAAGCACTTTTGGACGCTCCACGGGCTGGCAATCTTGCTGCCCAAAGCTAAAAACTTAAAAATCCTTGCTACGTATTTTTTCACCTGTGACTTTAAGGTGAGAGGAACCCCCCGAAGGGCAAGAACAAACTTGTCCCAAGAAGCTTGGGTGCTAGCCTCGATTCCATGTAAGTCTGTGAATTGGTGTTCGGAATAAGTTTTTGGGCGGAGGTCTATTTTTCCGGGCAGTTGGTAATCTTGAACCTCCGTAATATTGGTCATCATGTCGTCTGTATCTGGTCCCATCGAACACCTGCTACTCATGACCCGAAACCCGCTGATTCCTCCATGAGAATTTACCCGTACTCGCCCCTGTTCTTCCCCTCGAGGGTTGCATGTGTTTTCCGCCATGTAGCACCTATATTCTTACAGCCCTAAAGAAAAATCTTTCAGCAGCAACACGCTTTTGGTAAATAACCGCCATGCCATACAAAGAAAGCACGGGTGTTGAGGCACCACCAGGTTGCCCAAGGCTATACAAGGGAAGTCGAGCGACAGAGGTCGGGTTTGATTCGCGGACCTTTCGTTTCGTAAATTCTAGTTCTAACCAGCGAGACGTATCTCCCTCATGTGCTCACAATAGTTTCACGGGTTTGCCTTCGCCGATTGTTTTGGTTAATTCCAAATTTTCCGAGAAAATTCCAACCTTTGCTCTCAGCACGTGACGAGGCATGTGAAACGTGAATTTACTTTGCGAGTTGATTTAGCACTGGTCAGTTGCAGTGCATTTAGTTGAAACGGAAATGCAGGCGGAGTGCGTGCCGAAATGTAGGCAGAAGACTGTTAGTGATTTGGTTTTAAATATATACGTAATCTTCTGAGTGCTTAGAAATTCTTGCGGTCAGCCGAACACTCTCTTGTTGTTATGTTTGTAGTTGTCAAGGGCTTATCTGTGGGCTCAGAGGGCGCGATCAAAGGCACTTTGACCAGGCACGTGTGCGTCATAACCGTTAAAATTGCCGCCGAACTCTCCACCAGGTAGAGCTCTCGGAGCGGGTTACTTGATGGAGCACCAAAGGCTCCTCCCCTTAGGTGTAATTTTACCGGCACCCTTGCGTATGCCTCGAGCGTCACGCTTTACGGTATTCGCTTTCCACACTTCTTTGTCTGTGGATTTCTCTGGACTATCACCCTTATTATACTTCATTTAGAGCACTTATTCTTCTTTGTATAACTTCCACGCGAGCAAGCATTGTGGACCCGGCATGCTCTGCCCTTTATTCCCTTGTGCTTTCCAATAAACGGAAGCCTCTGAACGACGAGAATATTACGCTTTCGGGAAGATTTAGGAGATGACTCGATCCCGTTTATCCTTTCGGGTGTCTTTAGTTACGTGCTGCTTCATGGGTTGTCTGCGGTTCTGTGTACTAAGTCAGTAGAAAAGGGTCCTTTGATGTTTTGAATACCTAGACTTAATTGTGCCACGACGGTCGTGAATGAGAGGCGGAGCTCCGCTCATTAAAATGCATTCTCTTGGGCGGCGCCTAGCATCAAATAATGGCCGCGGGGTCATTTAAGCGTTGCTTGTTTTAGCCCAAATACAATCATGATGAATGAGGAGAATGATGATAATTTTTTCTCTTAACAGTTGTCTGTAAGTTCCTCAATCTACGGGATTTCGCGGCAGCCGAGTTAGTGCCACTTAAACCGGCACTAAAGTGGCTGCCTTTAAACTGTCACGCTCGGCGCGAAAATCAAGGATCTATTCTACGATTTATCGAAATTCAGTACATAATATCAAGCGGCGGGGCATCGATGCTAATAAATCCTGCACCCAGGACAAATTCCTTATATGCTGAACCTGATCGTGTGGACCACCTCAGCACTTTGTCACTCGCCTCTTCGACGGGCTGACGGGTGTGCATTTTGCATGCATCGGTAATAATGTGTTCAATAGAGTCATTCTGAATGGATGCTGGGAAACACAGAGACATCGGGGGAGATTTTGTTGCTGCGTATCAACGGCCCGGTAAACCGCCATCAGCTATGTGAGAGATAGGACCCGATTTCCCGTGTGACGCAGGCCAGGCTGCTCCTAAAACGAAACAAAGGTCAAATCTTCGTGAAGCAGTTTCTTTTTCCTCTACCAAATGCCAGATTCAGGAGAAACAACCCTGAGCATTCACTTTGTCAACGGCACTGAAAAGCAACAAATGCTGATAGGAATGTAATTTGGTCTTTGAGAAGTGTCAAGGCTCCAGAAAATTTGAAATTCTAATTTCAGGAAGGTAACTCTGCAAAAACCACACGATTAGACTATTCTTCCGGACATCGATATCACCGAGCGTGCTAAAGATACGATCAAGACTGAGAAGAGGGTACCCATGAGCGGGGAAGAACCAGATATCATTTGGGGATGACGGTGCTGGTGGTGGCAGTTTTGGTTGTGGAGAGTATGTCGAAAAGGGCTACTGTTGATTGTTTTGGTGTAGGATGTATCGGCAGGCGAGGAACAAAAATACAAGCCAGGCTACCACTGGAAGTTTGCTTGAGGTTTTGAACGCGAATTTGTCGGACATTTAAATAGCAATGCTTTGCCATTGCCTCGTTTTTGGTCACTATAGGAGCCAAGTGCGCTAATTGTGTGGCCATTATCGGGTATTCCTGTTTCCCTGGATAAGATATTTGCCCGACAGCGAGTAAGACCTGATGCTTTTTGTTGACAACAGGAGAGGCGTTAGTACCTTTGGATCGTTCGATTACCTTCCGCCATGGGTCACAATCGTTTGATAAGTGTTAAGCTCAGCAACCTGCGGAACTGAAGGCGGAATCACCACGATTAGACTATTCTTCCGGACATCGATATCACCGAGCGTGCTAAAGATACGATCAAGACTGAGAAGAGGGTACCCATGAGCGGGGAAGAACCAGATATCATTTGGGGATGACGGTGCTGGTGGTGGCAGTTTTGGTTGTGGAGAGTATGTCGAAAAGGGCTACTGTTGATTGTTTTGGTGTAGGATGTATCGGAAGGCGAGGAACAAAAATACAAGCCAGGCTACCACTGGAAGTTTGCTTGAGGTTTTGAACGCGAATTTGTCGGACATTTAAATAGCAATGCTTTGCCATTGCCTCGTTTTTGGTCACTATAGGAGCCAAGTGCGCTAATTGTGTAGCCATTATCGGGTATTCCTGTTTCCTTGGATAAGATATTTGCCTGAAAGCGAGTAAGACCTGATGCTTTTTGTTGACAACAGGAGAGGCGTTAGTACCTTTGGATCGTTCGATTACCTTCCGCCATGGGTCACAATCGTTTTATAAGTGTCAGGCTCAGCAACTTGCGGAACTGAAGGCGGAATCACACTTGAATGTATGAGATTTAGAGGACAATGTAAGGCGATAAGATTATACCGAAATTCTACCGCTTGATGCATTACGGTAATATAGGTGCCTTCTTGGCTTTTTGTAGGTCTGTAGGTGTAGGACACAATTGTGTGCCGCTTTACTCTGTAGTTAGCTTGGGTAACGAAGTTTCTGTGTGGACAAGGCCAAAAATCCCAGTTGTAAATGGGTAAATTTTTGTTCCTTCCTTAAATTCCAGCATTTTGGTCACTCTTGGGAGGTCATTTATGTAAAAGTGCACGGAAATCTAATCGACTGAGGTCCGTTTTGAGATTATCTGGACTAGGCGACAGACGTAGTGTGATAACCTTTTCAAGTAAAATTCAGTGACTGCACTCACGGAATCAGCATATTTGATGAAATAGCGGCGACGGTTTATCCGTCTCCCGGAAAGCTAGAAAGGCTGATAATACTGCGCACGCAAGACCCATCCCCAAATTCTGTGAGCGACAGTGGCAATGCCGTCGACTACGTGATAGAAAGTGGTAGTATTCGTGTGTAAGCTCATGGCTCTCAGTTTGTAGGCCGATAAACGATCCCACCTTGCAGTTGTCAACCTGGATCCGGGATACAGTTTGCACCCTTGTAAGCCTGGTCTACACCGGTCAAACCCTCACCAAACAAATAAAACAAAATACCACAAGGATGTGGTATCTCACTCAATAACGAAGGCTCGTATATTGGCTACTTTAAGGTGCATCACTTGGCCGCTCTACCAAATTCTGTACACCGGTTAGTCTATATTGTTCCACACAAAAACAAATTCCTGGAAACCATTAAACCCACTCACCAGCAATCTTCAAACAGCTTTGGGATTTCATTTTGGATTTTTGAAAGATTGGGTGTGCCATAAACACTACTAACTATAGGCTACCCATCCGACAGCCTGAATTTTTGTCCACAAGATGAATAATTATCTACACGGAAGAATCCTTTGAGTCATGCAGTCAAGTTCTGTCGTATGCTCCCTCAAAAGCACTTAACCCGATCTCCTGTTCGCAGCGTGAAAAAATTCTACGTGTAAATCCGCTTGTTTGTTTTTGTAATATATTAGGTGGAGTTGACTGGTATTTCTTAGTTATTTGTAATAATTTTTGAGGGTGAATTCCTTCAGTCTTTTCTGGGGGAAGTTACACCTTTCTTTTCCGGAGGTGTGAGCAGGTTCCCCCTGTTCGCAGCGTGAAAAAATTCTACGTGTAAATCCGCTTGTTTGTTTTTGTAATATATTAGGTGGAGTTGACTG